ATCAGTGGACACCCAGTATTGCACTCGTGGGTGATATGGGTGTAGACAACGGTCGCGCTATCCCTAGTTTGATCAAGAATTCACAAAACGGCAAATTTGATGCCGTTATTCATATCGGTATTTACTTTTGATGACTCCCTTTTGACAATATCTCTAATTAATTTGTATTCAATTATCAGGTGATATTGGCTATAATTTATATGCCGTAAGAATTTTATAATACAGTAATTTTATTTATAAATATCATTATATATCATTTATAGATATAATAAATATTTTAAAAATAATTATTTTTATGTTAACAGTATAACGGCAGAATAGGGGATGCGTTTATGAATGCGATCCAACCATTTGCAGGTATATATTGATATTTAGATGTCATTTAAATATTTAACTCTTAATTTATAAAACAATATTTGCAGCAATCGTTCCCTATATGGTTATCCCGGGGAACCATGAATACACTTGTTATGACGATAAATGTCCTGGGTATACCAGTATATGCAGTATAAAATCCATTACCTAATATATTATATATCAATTTATAGTGATAATGGTATGAGTTATGAAACTCGGTTTAAAATGCCACAAAATACAAATAACATGTACTACACGTTCACATTGGGTCCGGCGCTCTTCGTCGCCATCAACACTGAAGTCTACTTTGAGACAGAAATGAGTGATTTAGAGGTCTCTCAGCGACAGAAGAAATGGCTCCGACAGGTCCTCCGTGAGGCTAATCTACCCGAGAATAGGGCCCGACATCCATGGATTATAGTCTACGGACACAGACCTCTGTATTGCACAGCACTCGCTGAATGCAGGGAAGGCATGACATTCTTCAAGAGAGTAATACAAACTTTTAGTGAATAATTATATGAAAATATTTGTTAATTAATTGGATTCTTAAAGGAGGGCAACGGCACTGTTGGCAGCCTTTACGACATCGACGATATTCTCTATGACTATGGAGTAGACCTCGCATTCTGGGGTCACCAACACTATTATGAGCGCATGTTTCCCGTCTATAATCAAACGGTTGGCAAACATATAATGTTTTGATTTTTGATTAATCAGATTATGTTAATTGAATTAAGGCTTACCGGAACTCAATGTACGAAAACGCTTTTGTAAACCCGAGAGCAACTGTTCATATAGTTTCGGGAACGGGAGTAAGTGTTTGTGTTTTATTTGTCTAAATTATTGTCTAATTAAAGTGTTTTATTAAAATTACTACAAAAGGGTATGGAATCGAAAACTGAAGAATTCAATCCAACGCCATCCCTTTGGTCGGCATTCCGGTCGTCAGCTTATGGTTACACAAGATTTAGTGTTTTGAATAAAACTCATCTATACTTAGAGCAAATAGATGTAGATCGGGTCAGTACATGGGCTCACACTCATCACCATTTACTCTTATTTAAAACATAATAATAAATTAATACTTTAAATTGTAGAACGATTTGGTGGTTGACTCGGTTTGGCTCATTCAAACAGAACACATCCCATTTCATATCAAAAACAAAAATTTGGTTTTTAATTAAATACAAATAAAAATCGTTTGATTCGTAATTTAAAGCACTTTATTGTTTTCAAAAAGGATAAGCGCAGCGATTACCCACGCAAAATATTTTATCCAAATTACCATCAATTATTTGCTTATTGAATAAAATTGGCTGATCTTTCGACCTTTTTAATCCCAATTTCAATGCAATTTCTATTGATTTGTTATGAGAGTCCCAACAAAGATACATTAATTCACGAGTTTTGGTTTCGGGAAAGCGTTGACAGCAGTTACTGATTAACAACTCAGCGATTTGCTCATTGTCTGCATAAAGCGGTTCAACGAGTACTATATCACTCAAATTGGACACAAAAAGCACACAATAGCCTAAGACTTCATTTTTCTCATTGATTGCCACCAAATTTACAGTTTCGCGGGTCTTATAGAGTGCCTCAAACATTGGCCTTCTGTCGACACCATTGGTTACAGTTTTGTCGTATTTAATCACATCTCCGATATTGTTGTCATCGATCGGTACTAAAGACATGCCATCAATACTATCGACAAGATTACTAGTGTTGACATATCCTCTAAAATGGACCAGGCGTCTTTCCGGTACAAATGGGAAATTAATGCTATACTTTGCAAATATTTTTGGGGTCGCGGCATAAAGTGATACATTCCTATCGCCCATATGTGCCATCATTTGATCCCAAAGAGCCGAACCAATTCCTAAGCCCTGATATTCAGGTTTGACTCCATATTGACCGACGTGTGCCAACTCTGGTGATATATTTATACCGCTTGTCATTCCCAATAGTTTTCCTAATTTTAAAGCAATTTGTAATTTATGTCTTATTAAAAATTTTGTTTAAATAAAAATATTTTAATAAAATTGTTTAATATTTACCTGAATCGATGTCTTGAGCTACAAATATACACTTGGGATCTGTTTTAAGCATAATTTCATTGTTATATTTAGTTCCCATGAAATGGAGTTCATTCCAGATTTGACGGACTTCTTCGCAATCAGACAATTGGAAGTGTCGGACAATGAATGATGGCTTCCTATTGGCGCTCATTATTTCGCTTTTTACTACTTTTGCTAAATATTTGTAGTTTTGATTAAATTCCCGATTCATTCGCTTTATATAGCACTAAATATAATGCCTTTACATCGTGTATCTTATGTGATGTGTTATTGACAATGATATCAGTACATGCACCTGGTAATAATACACTTATTATGCAATACATTTAATAATATTACAATCTACGTAAAATTAAAATGAACGCAAACAGAACTTTTGACGGTCATATACTGTTAGTGTGACCGCCTCTAGTTATAGATAAAGAGGACATTTAACTAAATTTAATGCACATCAAGAGGACAAATAGGGGACACTTGTTCTAAATCAAGTTTTCTAATAAATTAAATTCTTATCAAACTGTGATAAAAATAATAAACTTGTCATGGTCGTGATATACAATACAGTATTGGTACAGATATGTATTGGACTCCAATAATTGAAGGACATTATTATCATTATATTTTATTAATAATGTACAACATATACAGTACCGCTCATTAACGAACACTAAATTTGTATTTTTGATACTCTTATAAAGTGCTAAAAGAGTTGCACTTCTGCCAAACAATTACAAACTTGTTTGTCATATTCAATCACATCCCAAGTGTAGTCATAATTGATGGCCACTAAAAAGAGTCCATAAATTGTGCCAATAATTTTATTGTTTTGCGCAAACTGTTCCTTCTTATGAATGAACCGCTTCTTAGATGTAATGCTTATGTGAACCCAAGAAAAACGATTTGATGTACTCATAGAGAGCAACTGTTCATATAGTTGTCGCAAATAGTTGTCGATCGGATCAGTACATGGGGTTACATTCACCACCATTTACTCTTAGTTAAAACTTAATAATTAATCAATACTTTATAATTGCAGAACGATTTGGCGATTGACTCGGTTTGGATCATTCAAACAAATCAAATTACATTTCATTTCAAAAACAATAATTTGGTTTTTAAATAAATACAAATAAGCAAAAAATCCTTTATTTCGGAATTTAAAACACTTTATTATTGGTTTCAAAAAGGATAAGCGCATCGACTGCTTACGCAATATATGTTATCCAAATTACCATCAATTATTTGCTTACTGAACAAAATGGGCTGGTCGCACTTTCGTTTTAAACCCAATTTGAGTGCAATTTCCATTGACTTGTTATTAGAGTCCCAACAAAGGTATAATAATTGATGAGTTTTGGTTTCGGGAAAACGTTGACAGCATTTACTGATCAACAACTCAGCGATTTGCTGATTGTCTGCATAAAGCGGTTCCACGAGTACTAAATTACTCAAATTGGTACTAAAAAGCACACAATAGCCTAAGACTTTATTTTTCTCATTGATTGCCACCAAATTCACAGTTTCGGGGGTTTTATAGAGTGCCTCAAACATTAGTCTTCGATCCACACCATTGGTTACAGTCTTGTCGTATTCAATCACATCTCCGATATTACTCTTATCTATTGGTACTAAAGAAATGCCATCAATACTATCGACGAGATTATTATTAGTAACATTTCCAGTAAAATGTACCAGGCGTCTTTCCGGTACAAATGAGAAATGAACTTTATATTTAGCAACCATTAGATCCGAAGCATAAAGTGATACATTCCTATCGCCCATATGTGCCATCATTTGTTCCCAAAGTGCTGAACCGATTCCTAAGCCCTGATAGTCTCGTTTGACTCCATATTGACCGACGTGTGCCAACTCTGGCGATATATTTATACCACTTGTCATTCCCAATAGTTTTCCTAAATTAAAAGCAATTTAATCTATCATTTGTGTCCCATTGAAGACTTTTGTGATTTATGATTCATAATTGTGCAATATTTACCTGAATCGATGTCTTGAGCTACAAATATACACTTGGGATCTGTTTTAAGCATAATTTCATTGTTATATTTAGTTCCCATGAAATGGAGTTCATTCCAGATCTGACGGACTTCTTCGCAATCAGACAATTTGAATCGATGTCTTGAGCTACAAATATACACTTGGGATCTGTTTTAAGCATAATTTCATTGTTATATTTAGTTCCCATGAAATGGAGTTCATTCCAGATCTGACGGACTTCTTCGCAATCAGACAATTGGAAGTGTCGGACAATGAATGATGGCTTCCTATTGGCGCTCATTATTTCGCTTTTTACTACTTTTGCTAAATATTTGTAGTTTTGATTAAATTCTCGATTTATGCGCTTTATATAGCACTAAGTATAATGCTTGTTATATGTGATTATTATTGACAATGATATTAAGTTAAATTAAAATGATTGATTTAACTTTTCATGGTCATGATATTATGGAGGACATTTACAGTAATATTATAATATATAATTTAAATGAATACAGACTTACCTAGTATATAATCAATTTAATAAATTCAATTTACTATAAAATACAATTTTTCAGACAATTGCATAGAAATCTGTTAAAATACAATAAATTTTATTTTACTAAATAAAACACATGATTATTATTTCAAATGTTAGGAATTATAGCAAATTAAATGTTATCTATTTTAGATATAAAATTGAGTAGTATTTATATAAATGTGAGAAATTTTTAAACAAATTACCCATACATTAACACATTGTGTAATCGTTATTAATTGCAAAATATGTCATAGTATTAAAACTATGATCCAAAACTGTAAATTTTAAGTGTTATCATAAAGTTTACATGAATTCAAAATATGAATTACTTGGTTAAAAAGGATAAAAACATAAACTGGTTATTGAATAGATTTTATCGAGATTTCCATCGACTACTTTCTTTGTGAACAGAATCGGTTGATCCCTAAACTTACTTAATCCCAGTTTCTCTGCCACTGCTATTGAATTGGGATTTGAATCCCAACATAAATACAACATTTTCTTAGTTTTATGTGTGGGTAAGCGTTGACAGCATTTGTTGGCCAACAACTCAGCGATCTGTTGGTTGTCTGCATAGAGGGGTGTAATACCCGTCACACCACTACTCGTGTCCAAAACGAAACAATAGCCCAACACTTGGTTTCTCTCATTAACGGCCACTAAATTGATATTTTCGGGACTCTTATAAAGTGCCGAAAGCATTGCGCTTCTGTCTAAACCATCGCAAACTTGTTTGTCGTATTCAATCACATCTCGAATGTTGTCTTCATTGATGGCCATCAAAGAGATGCCATCGATTCTGTCAGTAATATCAATGTTTGGCGCAAACTCTCCCTTCATATGAATGATCCGTTTCTTGGGAACGGCAGAGAAATGGTGGACATCTCTATAAATTGTGAATATTTTCACGGTTGCTGCGAATAGTGAAGCGTTTCTATCGCCCATATTTTTCATAGCTTTAACCCAAAGAGCTTTACCAATACCTAATCCCTGATACTCTGCCCGAACCGCGTACTGACCCACAAATGACAGGTCGGGGCCAATGTTAACACCACTACAGGCGCCCAATATTCGGCCTAAA